GCCCTGGCCCCCCAGCCAAGATTGGATATTGGACCTTATAAAATTCCCCCCCCCCACGTTCAAAAACGTTCCGCCGCCGTTAATAGTGGTCCACTAACATTTACATATTTCATTGTTATGCTAAAATGAAATACCAACGATTGAATGTTATTATCGAGTGTCACAAACTGCCTTCTATTAAGCCCTTAAACAAGCCACAATATATAAAAACAAAAATGACAGTATATAAAGACGGATAAGATGTCATTTTTCAATTTCAAAACATTATAATCACATTTGAATCGTTGTTAATTGCAACATTATCAAAGTTATACATGTTTTTATACAAACAGCAAACGTTCGGTCCACGAGTACTACTATAGTCGCAGGTGTCGGCGAACGAGTTGAACTTGAGACGGAAATCGAACGCAATACAAATGTCGACATACTCCGTTGGCGCCATAACGGAGGAGAAATAATAAGCAACTGGAATGGCAAGACTAAAGTAATTATTGAAAGTGTTAGAACTAAAGATGGCGGAGTATACGAGTGTTACTTTGATGGGGAAAGGGAGTTAGGGCTTCAGAGTTTTACTCAACTCATTGTAAGAGGTAACTTCTCAACAGATTATACCTAAATTACAAGAACTTTTTACAATTTCTTTCGAATCAAGATTGTAATCATTCTTTGTTTCCGGATAACTTGACTAATAAAAGTATGAGTAACATAGTTCTTAGCTCTAGAAATATTAATACATTAATTATCACTATTCAGTTTCGGTTAAATCACGATGCAAGCGTGTGCATTTTCAGTTTGTAATTTAATAATTTTTCATTTAGGATGTCCGTCTCCAAAATGGGGCGCCGAGTGCGACAAAGACTGTCCAGTTTGTTACAATGGAGGTGTATGCCATCCAAACACAAGGGACTGTGTTTGTCGTCCTGGGTACATGGGCGACGAATGTAGTGAACGTATGTTATCTTTGACTTTAATCATTTATGCAAGTTAAGATGTTTTACCACAGAAAGGCTTATTTATATACTAACACCGTAGCTTTACTATGATTTCCTATTTTCAAATTATAATGTTACGGTTTTTAAGTATGAATCTCGAATATTTCCATGCGCACTAGTCTATGATGTATTTTGCAATTTTAGCGTGTGGAGATAATAACTGGGGACGTTCCTGCTCATCAATGTGTAGTACATCAAACAGGGGGTGTGATGGCATTTTGTTCTGTTTACCTGAACCAATGGGTTGCTCGTGTATGGCTGGATACAAAGGACATGACTGTAAAGAATGTACGACAATATATTGTTCTTTTTTTTTGTTAGGAAGGGATACTACCAAACATTTTCAGATAGATTGAATCGACACCAGTCCCACTATGGGAGTACAGTCCACACATGACTCAGGAATGGTTGATAAACTATAATTTATTTTTCAGAGGTCTTTTACTTACTCGTGGTATTATTTCAGTCATAAACAGCACGCATGTCAAGCCTGTTTAGCCCACCCTCTAAATACGCCCCTGCATTTTGAAGAAAAGTGACTGTTACATGTTGGTAGGCAGTTCTCTTCCAACGCTGCTCTCTATTAATAATAATAATAGGTAGGGCAAACTGTTCCATTCTGAGGATTCTTTCCCTTAAAACCTTATTTGCTTGATATAGATGAAGTATTTATATAAATAAATTAACAATATTTCTAATTAAAATATTTGTAAAGTTGTCTAATGTTCATTTAAATAATGTATTATTGTTATAAGTGTGTCCTTACGGTACGTTCGGTGCAGACTGTAGAAGCACTTGTCATTGCAAGTTCAGTGCGTGTGACAGGTCGATGGGATGTTGGAACATCACTTGTGATGACGGCTTTGAGGGACCACAATGTCAAGGTATCCAATGTGTACATAGTTGTGAAGACAATTACCGTTGCCTCAAACATTACTAATGACGAAACTGAATTATTGAATCAATACTATGTGAATAAATGGTATTTTTTCATTTCATTTAATTTTCATTTATTTATTTGACTATAAACAATAAAAAGCACAATAACATCAAGAAACAACAAAAAGAAGGTCAGGGACAGCAAAGCAAATAAGTTAATGTAACTCAAACGAGTCAGCTGCCCCTTAAACATGAAGTAACATGAATATTGCACACAATAGAAAGTGTTATAACAAATATATAAAAAGCCCTATACAATTAAAATAATTAATTATTAATCTATATTACAATCTATATTAAAAATATTTATTTATGACTTCAAAAATATGATTAAGACTATTTAATTAATGAATTGATTGAATTATTATGGTTTATATACATAATTTGATAAATATTACCGTACAAACGATTGCGAAACAATTAGGTCTAAACTAGGTTGAAAATATGATTAAGACTATTTAATTAATAAATTGATTGAATTATTATGATTATATATATAATTTAATAAATATTACCGTCCAAACGGATTGCGAAACAATTAGGTCTAAACTAGGTTGAAGCCTTAAGAATTCAGAGTGGCTTTTTGTTGCAGAAGAAGCAAAACCATGAGTTTTCTCAGATTTATTTCGAATTCATTTCATTTTTTGATTCAGACAAAAATATCCTGGAACCTCAAAAGCAACATGACAAAAGTCTGTGGCAAGAGTCAGAGGCTAAACTATTTTTGAAGGCTAGCACGGTATCATATCTGTCTAAAAGTTAGTGACATACACAGAAAAAAAATGGGAGCGTTTAATTGTCATTTCTTCAAAATGAGTCTAGTTGAGCGCGGAAACAAGCATGTGTAGCGGCGTAGCTAGGTGATCACGGGCCCCCAATGCAACACTTAATTGCCTGCGATTTGTCAACCAAAGTTCGTATGCCAAAGCCAAGGCTAGGGAAGGTGGGAACTAGTGCCTAGTGTGATCCGTGGCAAAGTCCCAGGAAGCTTGTTTCCCAGATAAGCTATCTTAAAATATTATGTGTTACCGATATAGTTTATCTCAAGAAACATGGAATTCCTACGCCATTGAGCATGTGAGACTAATTATTGTATTACAGAATACGAGGATTCGACCCCATGCCCCAATGGTTTTTATGGTACATTATGTCAGTATAAATGTCACTGTTTTTTGACGGAAAAATGTTACAAGAATGGAACATGTCCCCTTGGCTGTCAAGAAGGCTGGGGAGGTGATGACTGCCAATTTCGTAAGTAGTTTTTAACCAACAAGAAGTATAATATTATATATGAAATCTATCACTGGTGACGTAACGATATTTGAATATTTATTACACAAAATTACATGAAATAATATGCACTTTTATAATAATAATATATAATATTTAACTATATTTTTCTGTGTGTTCTATTGCAGCAATCCCTGCTCTTCGTAATCCTCCTCGCATTTCAAAGTCTAATTTCCACAGTCTGCATATTGAGTGGGACAAGTGGAGAGTTCACCACGACTATGGCCTAGGTAACGTCACAGGATATCGTCTATTCTATAGATATATAACACCCTCTCCAGGCGCACAAAGAGAAGGAGAATATACTCTAAAAACAAAACTAATTCTGAGTCAGATAAATCCTTGCAGGAGGTATGAAATATACATCCGAGCGTATAGGAACGTATCAGGAGAGCTTGTTGGAGGAAGACCAAGTCCAACTGTGTACCATGACATGGCATGCAACTGTAAGTTATCGGTATATTTGATTTATTATGCATTGAATGATACTTTTTTATTAACAACATTTTAATTACAACTGCTATCTGCAATTACTTAGATGGGAGTGTTGAAGTAACAATAATGGCTCAACCTGCAGCTGTTGACATTGGAAATAAGACAGAAGATTTGAAGATTGCCGTGTATACGGGCGCCCTCTCTACCAACATACTGCTGGGACGGACTTGTGATACTGGTGTGGGGAATACTGGACGACCTGTGTCCTGGTTTGACGGAAGTCCTTTCCCAGGGTCACATGTTTTACCAACCATGGCTTTTCCAATGAATACTTTGATAGAAACCATTGTTAAGTATAACTATCACTCCCTCGTCGCCAAGATTCCGGGTGAATCGTTTAAGGCCAAAGGTGGTGCATTTTCAACTGAAATTCGGGGAACATGGGCATTACCGAGCAAGTCAGCGATAGTCGTATTAGACAGAGATGGTATAGTATACCTTTATTAAATGCAATAGGGTTTTTTGTGTAAAATAAACTAATTAACAGCTATTTAAATTTGATTAAGTATGTAGAGGATCTGCCAATATTTAAAGCAAAAGTTGAATTGAAAAAAAATTGACACAAACAATTTAAACACAGAATCGAATATCTTTTAGAACATATAATTCAAATGCAATAAAACAAAAGATTTTATTACATGCTTATATACATTTGTTGTTTTTTTATGTTTCTTCAAAATAATTTGCTTTTATTAAAATTGAACAATAATAAGCAGTGATCACTGTGCGTTTCAGCTAACCCAATGCCTATTACAAGATCAATTGTCGTAGGAACTGGTGACAGGGCTGTCCTGTCTGTCGTCGTTGAGGGTAACGCAACCGGACTGAGATGGCGGAAAAACGGTGAAGGAATAAAACAATGGAAGGACAAGAAAGCCGTGTTCATAGAGCATGTGCGAACTGAAGATAGTGGAATTTATGAGTGTTTTTTTCCAGCGAAACGAAATCAAGGAAAACATGCAATTATTCAATTAAACGTAAAAGGTAGCTTGACTGAATTTATTTCCCCGATATACAGTATTAAAGTGTAATTAACACAATTATACTACATTATAAAATAACATAGGATAAACCCATAAACTTACTTCAATAGTTAGTCCCTCCTCTTATACCAAGGACTTTTAACTGTTACCAGTCCTTCAATATACTCTTTTGTTTGGAGGTCGGATTTACGTTTGAAGGTCGGATTTACCCACAAGAACATATTCTTAACCACGAATACATTTTAGGCAATAGGCCTAAGTACCAACATAATGAACCACAAGGCAAAACTGAGTACTCAACCTTCTGCATGGTTCATGTAATATTTAGTTATTTGAGTTTATTGTTAAAGTGTATTGTCCCTTGAAAATGACACAAAATCATAAATAATTTGAAATTAACTTGCTCATGTTTTAGTAATATACAAACTATTAACATGTGTACCCATGTTTTTAAATTGGATAATTATAATGAAAATACTGCAACAGTTCCATTGACTGGAAGTGTTTCTATATTTGTTTTGCCTTTCGCTGTACAATTATGGGTAAACATTTTTTAAGTACAGGTATTTTCTATGTTCCAATTGATAATTTTTATTTTACATCAAAATGAGAAAGTTAATTTCAAAAATGATCTATATTATGACGGTTTTGGTATTTTGCATTGGACAATACATCTTTAATGTATTTGTAATAAAAAAAATCCTACTGCATGTTTTCCTTCACCTGAGATTCAACTCTAGAATTTTAGCATTTTCAGATTTAGATTCATGCTAATAAAAACAATCATTATTAGCTTTTACTATTTTAGATTTACAGTACTTTGTTATGATGATATTTTACTATTAAAATAGTGCTCGCTAATTGCAATTTTTTTAGACACCTGCTCTTCATTATATTTCGAACGATAAGGTTTCAGATTCACTACCAATCCATTGTTTTAAATATTGAACATTCTCATAATAACAGAATTGGTTTTGAAGGAGCAAAATTATTGAATTGAATTTCTTTTGATGTTCGAAATATATTTCTACGGAAAAAAAAAATACATTTATAAAAAAGACTTAAAAAATAATACGTTAGATCTATATAGCGATTAAAACCAACGAGGCCTCTAAACGCTTCACATTACTACCCCCGGTAATAGCCCAATGCCTATGGAACACAAACTCAAGATCCCTGGGGTGTATTCCATACACCCTCAGGGTGTATGGAATACCGGTACATTTTGGCATTTAACCCTACCAGGTACCAATTTATACTCCTGAGTGGAGAGAAGCAATGCAGATATAGTGCCTTTGTTGTTTTTTTTTTTGTTTTTTTTGAAAATGAAAGTTGAATAAATATGGACGTTCTCTAATGTCTTACAGATTGCCCATTAAGTAAATACGGACCCGCTTGTGATTTGGACTGTCCAGTTTGTTACAATGGTGGAGTTTGTGATTCTGTAACTTCGTTATGTATCTGCCCAAGCGGTTTTACTGGATCTGATTGTTCAGTGGGTAAATATCAAAATCAATAGCAAAAGCTTATTATTTACATTCCGTATTATTTATATTTATTAGATTAAGATTATATTACCCAAGTACTGTAATGTCTAAACGGCCCAGTTTCCAATTAATTAAAATCAATTAAATCTAATAAACACTAGCAGAAACAGACCTAAACATATAATACATGTTAAAGTAATTACCAATACTGTATTAATATTACCGATATGGCAAATGATGTTTAAAACAATGCCAAATAATTCGTATTTAATTTATTCATTTTAGCAGACATACAAATCTTGAAATACAAATATTTCGGGAATAACATTAACATTCAGGACGGTGCCAGGGAGCAGCAAAATGGAGTACCGTACTCGCGCGAATAAGCGCCCCGGCGCTTAAAATATTTTTTGCACTTTTCTGAGGGGCGCTTATTCAAACGGGGCGCTTATTCGAACGGGGCGCTTATGAAAACAGAGAAATTGAGAGGGCGCTTATGGAAATAGATGAAAATCGAGGGGTTCTTATGGGAAATTATTAAATTCAAGAGGCACTTTTTTAATGAAAAATGATTATTTAAGGACATTACGAATGCTGGTTAGGCGGAAAAGATAATCGTCCAGAGAACATGGCTCATGACAAGAATGCGTGAATATTTACATAACAGCAGAATAGCAGATGCAATTAGTGGTGGTGGGTAGTGGTTAGCTTGTTGGCCATCGACCGATTGAGAAATGTATCCTGCCATCCTGCTAATTTAGCAGGATGGCAGGATACATTGTATTTTTTCTTGAAAACTCAGATGAGAATGTGCTAAAGGTCGGAAAAAGAAAAAGGAGTAGGGCTAGGCATAGACAAATGTAAAAAGAGTAAAGTTTGAAATTTGTCTGTCCATTGATCGTCGGAGCTCTCATCAGTCCAAGAGAAATATCCTCATTTTGATATTGACCTAAGACGAATGTGATTCCACTCTGCAGCTCAAATCATGCCAACAACCACAGTCCCATGATTGATTTTATTATTGACTTGCTAAAAAGAAAAGCTTAAGGAACTTTTCATGTTAGGAGGGGCGCTTATTCAAACGGGGCACTTATTCGCGCGAGTACGGTACACAACTGTTATCCACATGATGCTGCACAATACATATATCAAATTAAAAAGTAGCTAACATTAATATTCTTTAGTAACCCTTCAAATCGGCTTTAAACATCAAAACTAACTGAAATAAAAATAACAGCTCTAATTATTATTATTATTAGGGAGCCTCGCAAAATAAAGCAACGCGTATACCCGTCTACAACGCGTGGTTGGGGATTAAAATCTCTTCGCGTTGCCGACGAGTGGTTCAAGAT